CTTATTGAACAAATCGGCAGCCGCCGCGACCTCCGCATCGAGACCCCTTGGAAGATCTTCATCGGGACACGTCTCGAGAGCAGTAATAATATCTTGGAACTGTTTTTTCTTGTCGCGCGACTCCACTAAAACTTCAAGGGGCGAGGAATAAAAGAAAGATCGGAAGCGTTGCTTCAGCTGGTATGGTCCTTCAGTAGAAGTCATGGGCGTCTTAGAAGAGCTCGACGGTGTCGCTTCTGTAGATAATAGAATATCGAGGATAGAAAAAGGGTCTTCTTCGATTGCAGCTCGATATTCTAGCGCAGTGCTCGGAGCAGGCACATCTATCTCTGGTAATGACGCCGAGAGCAACTCGATAGGGGGCATCGCAAAAGGAGGAGAATCCTCTTGCTCCACAGAAACAGGGGAAGGAGAGCCTTGGACTTCGATTATTGGAATATTTACTGAAAAGAAAGAAATCGAGAATGTAAATCGAGAGGTTCATAATAGAATGAAATGAAAAAGTGACAATGAAAAGTATAAATACCAGGGGGAGGTAGAGCAAGTGGTGCCGAGGCAGGAGGAAGAATCTGTACAGCCTCAGGTTGCTGTAAATCGAAAACCATTATCAGAACAAGAAATGCACAAAAAGTAACAGCAATCATACAATGATATATAAGATACCTCAGTGAGGGGTGTTAATAGTTGAGATTCGACATTCGTCGATACAGTCTCCGATGGAAGATCCTGAAAATCAAATTTTGAAACCTTGTTACAAATTTTATCGAGACTTAAGAACATAGAATTTGTATAAAGAAGGAAACTTACGTGACTTGAACGAGTGGCAGGTGTTGTCGTGGTGATGGTATTAGAGTCCGTCGATAATGGATCGAGAGCAATTGGTCGAACAGATCGAGGACTCTTCGATTTTTGTTTCTGAAAATAGAAGATCGAAAAAAAAAAAGATAAGTATAAGAATATGGATTGATCAAACAGAGATATGAATATGACAAAACTGAAGTCAAAAGGAACCTTCGATTTTTTCGAAGAAGTAGGAAGGGTGGCCGAGCGTCTGCGTTTTCTGATCAAGGCTGATGGGTCCGACTCCCCCGAGGATCCCCAGTCCTCTTGTCCCTTCTCTTGACCCTTCTCGGCAGCGGTGACCTTAGTAGATTTCGAAACTGCCAATAAAAGAAGACAGATTAGCTTATAATATACAGAATCAAAAAAGTATAAGAAAGCAAGTAAAATCTCACCAAAGGTGATGGAGTCAAGATCTTGACTCTGGCCGATATGTACAAGCCAGGGAGGCAAAAGAGCCTCATGGAGGTTAAGGTAAGGGAAATAAGATAATTTTGAGACAGAAATATCTTTGTTTTTGGGTTTTGGGCGACGTGTTTCCCTAAGGGTTCTCAATTCTCGAACCCATTTTGGATGAGTTAATGGTTTGGCAAGTCCAAAAGGAGCTGTGGGAAAAGTAGGAAGGCGATTTGGACAATATATTTCAAAAGGGGTTCTACCTAAAGGATTGATTATTTTGTGGTTCGATCGATTAATGTCCGTTTTATTGGATAAGGAGATAACAAGCATCATAATAGGTCGATTCTAATTTCAAGTGGGGTGTAACATATTTGATAAAAGTTCTCGAATCGAGATATTTGAAGACAAGTGGAAGTGTGTACCTTTCTTCGATTTTGACTTGTCCTGCAACACAAGAGAAGGTTGAGTAGTCAGTTTCTGACGAACTTCATCAAAAGTAGCATGACTACTCGAGAACCAACCGGCCCACCATTGAGAAAAACCCACAGTAGATAGATAATTTGACTTGAAAGCATAGGGATAAAAGTGCATCGGGGTTTTTGATAAAAGCTCAACAAGCTCCCGACTAATTGTGGATTCAGTTAACTTGGATTTTGGAGAGGTATCGAGAGAGAAGAAAGGCAAAGATTGGCTCAACCCAAATTGTCTCGAGAAAAGCTGGGGGTAATAGGTGACAAGCTTAAAATCCTTCGACTGAAAACCCGACACCAAAACATCATGGGTCAAATAATTGCTCCATACATCAATCAGTTCTGACTGCAACCCATGAGTCGAGGCAGGAAATTTTGATTTAAACCAAATTGGCCCCCTAAGTTGGCCACTTGTTTGTCCAAGATTTACAGTAAATGGGGCCAAGGTTTAGTCGAAAATGAATCTGGTTAACAAAAATTGAAGGTATTTACAGTAGGTAGTTTCATCAGACTTATGGCGAGGGTGACGAGAGGATAATCGGGCCCCTTCTATATTTACACTCGGGGGGACGGAAGAAATTCGAGGAAGGACACTCTCAAAGATCGAAGTGAGCCACAACTGTACAAACCAAACGGGGCCTGAAAAGTTCCCCGATGCTTTAGGTGTGTTCAAAATTTCGACAGCCTCGTCGAAAGTAGCATACACATGAGCTAGTAACAACTTAGCCAAACATATCCTAGGCTGGCCTATGTGCAGGACATATGCAAGGTCAAAAAGATGGGGGGAAATTTGGATCGATCGGGGGCAGAAGACGTGAGTGCATAGCCAATACACCAAAAATGCTACATGCTCTTCATCGAGAATAGCCTATCGAAGGGTCATCAACAAAATGTTTCTCAATGAAATGTCCGTAAGCCTTCGATTCCCAATCAATTTTGGACCTCAAAGAACTACTCGAAGGACATGCACCTTTAATATACTTCTCCCCTATGGGCTTCAACCCAGTAATAGCCGCAATCTCGAAAAGGGTAGGCGACAGAGGGCCACAAGGCAACTCCAAGGCATGTAGGTCCTTATTCCATAAATGCACCGCAGACAAAAACATCGCCATGTCCAAAAATGATAAATCGCATCGAGACAGATGCAAAAAGTCGAAAATTCCTATATCCCTCCAATGGTTCCCAAACTTGGCTTGTACCCTATCGAACCACCTAATAAATTGAGGCTTTTTGGAAGGAGGGCCCGTTCTATACACTTTAGAGGTAAGATTCAGAAAATCAACCCTAACTTCAGGTTGATGAACCAAAGCCGGACTAGTTGAGAGGTTAAGAGGAGTAAAAGTGTCATCGATAGGACGGAGAGGACCCCCAAAAGCAAAATTTACCCCTTCAACAGTATAAGGAATAAGTACCTGCGTCTCAGCAATCTTGCGGGAAGCCTCCTCCATCAGAGGAACTGGAGCGAACTTCTGGTTGTTGATCTCCAGCAGGTTAGAGGGTAGTGAAGGAAGGGGTGGAGCGGAAAAGTCAGAAGATTTTGATGAGCTGGCCATTGTAGTGAGCTTAGGAAGACAGAAAGGGAAGAGTTAATGGATGAGGTAACAGGGACAAAGGCAGGAGATCAAGGGAGAAGATGAGATTGCAAAGAGGGTGATAGTTCGCGTAAAGACCAGAGTAAAGATCAAGGAAAGGTTAAAGGGAAATCGTCTAGGGAGTTGGAAACGACGGAAGGGAAAGGTAATTAATGTAACTTGTACTGAAAGGCAACAGACTGACGAGACGACGACGTAAAGTGGAAAAGAAACCTAAAAACATTTTTAACCCTAGAACCCCAGAAACCCTAAACCCTAAATCCTGTGGGCTTTCAAACACTAAGGCGGGAATATTGAAAGAATATAAAACAGAAATCATTTATATTCTTCCAAGGGGGCATTTTGTTAGTGGCAAATCGAGAAAAGCGACCGAAATCGAAGGGAAGAAATATGACTCGATAAGATAAACAAAAATTCATTCGATATCTAATTAGAAATACGTAGCATATAGCATCGAGAAACACAATCGAGAATCGAATGAATTATAATCAAATGACTGTTGTCGAATAAAAACTAAGTCATATAAGACCAGGGTTAAAAAGGAATCGTAAGCAATTCGAAGTTCTCGAAAAATACAGAATCGAGAGTAAAGAAAGCCAATGTGGACATCGAGACTTTGGCCAAATTGTGAAAGGAAGTAAGTCGAATGCACGTATAAAGAGCAGTTTTGAAATCATGGGAAAAAGTCGGAGATCGTGAGAACGTGGGAAACTATAGAAGATAAACTGCCATACACACGTAGAACGTGGTAGTAGTCGCGTTAACTGCTCCCGGAAGGCTTGAAGGATGCCCTATAAATAGAGCAAAGGAGGAAGGAACAGGGGAGCAGAAATTGGCAGAGAACAGGATCAGTAGTGAAAAGTCTACCGGAGAAACGACGAACACCATGAAGCTTCTGGCAATCTGGATTTCCTTGCTCACCGAGTACATTTACCGCTTTCTGTATTTTCCTTGGTAATTTACTTTGATGCAACTTAAATTCAGCAGTTTTATATTTCTGTATTTCGATTCCTTGTCCATTTCAATTCAATGAAAATTTGAGTTTCGCATTTAGATTTCCTGTTATTTAACATTCCGCAAATCTCAATTTCCTGTCATTTACTTTTCTTGCAATCTCGATTTCTTGTCATTTATATTTGCGTTGTTTTCGATTTCTCGCTATTTACAATTAATGCAAGTTTGGGGTTCTCGCATTTTACATTTCCTCGCAATTTAATATTCTGCTTTTCGATTCGATAGTCTTAATGCTTTCGATACTTTAAATACAAAACACCAAAAACAGCATTTTCGATATCCTGGAGTTTTCGATTCTCATACACGTTTTCGATTGAAAATCAAATTGCTAGCCTAAGTAAAAAGAGCTTACGTGGTAGAATTTTGATTAGGACCAAAACACCCTTAGAATCGAAATCGATCGAAATTCTACCAGAAACAGGTACTAAAAATCATCTCAAAAAAATTATTGAAATTTAAAGATTTTGTGATATATTTTCTTCATACAGAAATTATTAGATTCAAAACTGAGATGTATCAATGTATCTCAATAAAAATATATTTTATTTTTATTAAAGAATTTTTGGTTTTTTAATTATAGTTTATGTATATGTTGACAATTTGAAACTTATGAAGTAGATAATGTAAGTGATAGTAGTTTATATTAAATACTCGTTAACAATTTATTATATTTAATCATTTACAGTTCGAAAATTTTGTTTTGCAGTACATAAATTCAGTCTATATATTACTCATTTCGGAAAATCTCATTGCTGAGATACTTAAAAAAAATAAAAATCGGTCTACGAATTTTATTATGAATTGATTCTTCTTAAAACTACAATTTTTTTGGGTAAATGCAGATTGAGTCACTTGTTTAAATTCTGATAATCAATCTCTGATTTATATGATTTTTTTAATTGTTTAATATATTAAAAATATAAAAAATCAAACAACAGTGAGCTGATTTTCCGCTAAAGCATATATACTCAAATTCTTATTTAAGCCATAGAAAATGTAAAAATTTACATTATTGTTTAATTATAAATTACAATGTATAAAAAAATCAGTTAAATTTTATAATAATTATATAAAAAAATTATACTAATAATGATATATGATTAAATAATATTTTGTTATTGTTAATATATAACTATTAAACTCTTGTATGTTATGATTAATGTATTTAATTAGATTTGACATTCATATATGATTTGTTAATGATATTAGTTATAATTTATCACTATATTTGTTTTCTAGAATAATTTTTCAAAATAAGCTATATAAATAAAAAATTTCTTGCAATTACTATGCTCGATGTTAAAACTCCATTCTTTTACCAATGATAACATTATGCTATAATTTAATGTGTTTTTTATAAATAAAATTTAACGAAATATTATTTTAAAATGAAAATGACTCAATAAACACTAGATAAATTAACTATGTTGTCAAGTTGAAAAAAAACGAAAAAATCTCTATTAAGAAAAATATATTATTTTTATTTCAGAAAACTAAAACATTTTAAATAATAAATTGTGTTTAATTTATTTCCTTCACAGTTTTTTTTCTTTGGAAAATAAGGTTACTGAATGTAGATATATACCAGCAATATTTTTATTAATATAATATTTAAAAAAATATATAAACTAAATATATATTTCCCCATCCAGTTGTAAATATATAATTATTATTTTCCTTTTTTTACGTATGTTGATTTCGCATACCTTGTAAAAAATACCTGTAAAAATGAATTAATATTCATGAACTTCATTATATTTATTTTCTTTTTTGTCTCCATGTTTATTGTTAGGTCGATCTTGATAATTTATAGACTTAAGACGAAACCATAGTAACAGTATTTTTATATACAAATATATATAAACATATTTCCTATAAAAATTTAGATGGGTAAAATATTATATTCTATTACATATAAAATATTTTACAATTTAATAAATACAAACACAAAATATACAGGTGAATTAATGTTTATTTTTAAAAAAATTGAAATTTTGTCACATGTGTATAATTTTACTCAGATATATATTTTTCTTCTATTTCTTAATATGACTAAAAATTTTAAAATGTCATTTCATTTTACATCATTCCTTTGGAAATTAAAGGAAACTTGTTTGAATTTTTCAAGTTTTATTCAACTATTGTCCCTTAAAATAATATTCAGGATTGGCCCTAGTTCATTCAATCTTCCTTGTAAAACAACACTTGAAAAAATTAATGAATTCATGAATTTCATTAATTTGCTTCATTAATTTCTTAGTTTCTTTCCTCTGTGTCTCTATGTTCATTGAACATGTTCTCTATTAAAAGAATTCATTTTTTTTTCTCTATATGTTTTTATTTTCATTAAGCTTGCTCTACAAATAAAAACTTGTAAAAATGAATAAATTCATTAACCTTATCATTTATTTCATTAAATAATTGACTTTTGAAATTTTCGTTATCATATTTATTAAGTTCGTGTTATAAATAAATAAAAAAATTATCATAGAAATGAATAATTATTCATTAATTTTATTTTTTATATTTATATTTATTAATTTGTAGGCGAAGAATACACATATATTTAATGTGATGAGTATTAAAACTTATATTGAATGGCTTGAAATCTAAAGTTGTCATGTTATGGGAATTAACATAAGAAATATGTAATTCAAAACTCTAAGGGTGTTTCTCTTTTTGCAGTTTCTAAATGTCGCAAAATTAATTAATCTTTCTAGTCATGCTACAAATTTAATGTGTACCAATTATCATATGTAAAGACATTACAAGAATACAAGTTTAGCTGAACTATTTAATTTAAAATTATAAATTTTACAATATTATATAAATTTTAAAAAATTATAAATAAATCAGTCTAATTCTAAAATTATTTAAGAGTAGCTTAAGCCACGATAAAATGTTTTGTTTTTACAAATCAATTAAACAATACACTGCTAATTCATTTACTGCAATGGAAATTTTTGTAAACAATACCAACTCAGGTGACATAGTACAGATGTTATAATATATTAATTGTGTATCTGGTCAACATTTGTAATATTGTTGTTGAATAATGTGTTTGGTAATGCATTAATTTTATTTATTGGATTTTTGGAAGCAATAATAAATTGTTTTATGTTCTTTTTAATATTATTTCCATTTTCTTAAGATTCAGATTATGAATGAATCAAAACTATAACTTTTTTTATATATATAAAACCTGACTCATAATATTTTCAGTTAAAACACCTGAAATTAGTGATACATTATATCCATGAACATTACAAAAAGAGAAAAGTATTAATTATAAAGTAGTTTTTTAAAATATAATTTTAAGATAAATTTATTGTTTTTAATTAAATTAATTACTTTTTATAAATTAAATATTTATAAAAACAGACAAAATATGAATCTGCATTAAACTTAAATTTTACCATGTTACCCAACACTTGTAAATTCCTTAAAAAAACACTAGTGAAATTTTAGTTTAAATGTTTATATATTAAACATAAGTTAATAAAAAAACTTAATAAGCATTTTTTTATTTCACAAAAAATGATTTAAAGTTATTTTAATTCAAAGTCGATTATGAATTAAAAAAAATTATTCAACATGAAATTAAGTCAAACACTAATACGTTGGTGCAGAGATTATAGAGATTGGATAAATTATCATACTTTACCAAAATAATAGCTTGTGCAACCTAACCTATGAGAGACAAGTTATGATACAATGAAAAGAAAAAAGATATAAAAAAAAGGAAAACTACTATGTGTGTGGTTTCTGGTATTCTTTTGGTGGAAGAATAATACAAAGAAAAGAAACCCCACTTTGTGTGTTCAGATACATTGCACTTGGGAACGTTCGCATTCATTGCACTCGAATCTGTTTGTTTCCACTCTCAATAAAAGCCTCCCTTTGGCTTACCCAAGCCTCTCATTTCTCTTCCTCCCACTTTCTCACTTTTTTTTTTGCCCTATCTATAGGGTTCAGCTTCTCTCTCCTTCCTTCCCACCTCATGAATTTTTGCTCTCCCGAGTTCATCTTTGCTGTTGCCCTCTTTTTCTTTGTTATAGTTCAACCTTTTTCTGTGAAACATACCAGATTTCACCTCCCGGGCTTTTTTGAACTGTGCCCATGTCTCAAGTCTTCAGCTTCTCCGGTAGTCTTTTGTTTGGTCGCATGTTTTACATGATTCACTTCATGGGTCTGGTTGTTGTGTTTGTGATTCTGTTAATTAATTTCATGTCTGTCTGGGTATTTTGTAGGAGGTTGCCTTAAATGTTTGTTTTGTTGTTTGGTTGGTCAAAGATTATTATTTGAGTTTCAAGTGATGAATTCTTTGTATCTTTGTCTTTCTTCGGTGTTTCGTGAAAATTGGATCTTGGGTTTTGAGATCAAACAGCAGAAGCTCAACTTTTGGGTAGTTAATAGTGTGTACAAAGGTGAATTTTGTTGGCAAAAATTTTTTGGATCTTGTTTTTGAGATCACTTGGCAGAAGGTTCAACCGTTGAGTAGTTAATCTTATGAGTTCAGCAAAATTTTCAGAGTTGACCAGAGCCAGCTGTTTTAGATGCTTCATGAAAATACATAGTTTCTATTGTATGTTCAAAACTGTCACACACATAAAAGATGCTAGCTGTGGTTTTAATTGTGGAAATTTACATCTTCTTGATGTTTTTTATGCGTAATTTTGTTGCGATATTGACCTGGCACTTAATCTTTTTTTCTCAGGAAATGATGAATTTTGCCGTGGGGGTTCTGTATATCCTAACCCCAAGGAACCATGCCTCTTCTTGTCTCTTGGCCGTTCAGTTGATGTTCACTATCCTCTTCAGAAGAGATCTCGCATCAGTGTTCCAGTTGATAGCAATGGACAATGGTTTGATAAGCAGAAGCAGAATACCTCTATTGAATCTTTGCCAGATGAATGCCTTTTTGAGGTCCTTAGAAGGTTGCCTGCCGGCCAAGATAGGAGTGTCTGTGCTTCTGTATCCAAGCGCTGGCTTATGCTTCTTAGCAGTATTTGTAAGAATGAAATATGCAGCAATGGAAATCCCACAAATGATAATGATCAGGGATTGAGCAACGAAGGACACCTGTACCGAAGCTTGGAGGGAAAGAAGGCAACAGATGTCAGACTCGCTGCCATTGCTGTTGGGACAGCGCCTCGAGGAGGGTTGGGGAAGCTTACAATTCGTGGATGCAATTCAGGTGGTGGAGTCACTAATGTAGGTCTCAAGGCCATTGCTAATGGATGCCCTTCTCTAAAGGTTTTCTCTGCGTATGATGTTACTACTATTAATGATGACGGCCTGATTGCCCTTGCTAATGGGTGTTATCGGTTAGAGAAGCTTGACCTTTGCAAGTGCCCCAATATTTCTGACAAGTCTTTAATTGCAGTCGCCAGGAATTGTCCAAGTTTAACTGAGCTATCATTTGAGTCATGTCCTAATATTGGTAACAAAGGTTTACAAGCTTTTGGGATGTTTTGTCCCAATCTAAGGTCTGTCTCAATTAAGGGTTGCTTCGGAGTTGGTGATAATGGAATTGCTAGCCTCATGTCTTCAACTTCTTATGTTCTAAAAATGTTGAAGCTTGAGTCGCTGGATGTGTCTGATGTCTCTGTAGCAATGATTGGGCATTATGGCTTGCAAGTTACTGATCTTGTCCTAAGTTGCCTCCCAAATGTCAGTGAGAAAGGGTTTTGGGTGATGGGTAATGGCCGTGGACTGCAGAAACTGAATTCAATCACTATCGAATGCTGCCCAGGATTGACAGACATAGGGATTGGATCTATTGGAAAGGGTTGTCCAAATGTGAAAAGTTTCCAGCTTCGTAAATGTTCATTTCTGTCAGACAAGGGGTTGGTTTCATTTACCAGGGCTGCTGTATCAATTCAGAGCCTACAATTGCAGGAGTGCCACAGAATTACCCAAATTGGACTTTTTGGTGTCTTTTTTCACTGTTCTGCAAAATTGAAGGTTCTTGTTCTGATTAGCTGCTATGGGATCAAAGATCTGACCATGAACTTGCCACCAATAACTCCTTGTGAATCATTTTGGTCCTTAACAATCCGTGACTGTCCTGGATTTGGCAATGCTAATCTTGCATTACTTGGAAAGCTCTGTCCCCAGCTTAAGCATGTTGAATTGTGTGGACTTCAGCGGGTAACAGAAGCAGGGTATCTTCCACTGCTGGAGTGTTCTGAGGCTGGTCTAGTCAAAGTTATTTTAAAGGGATGTGTAAATGTGACGGACAGAGTAGTTTTGCCTGTGGTCAACACTCATGGATGGACTCTTGAGATGCTGTGTCTTGAAGGTTGTAGAAGAGTCACCGATGCTAGCATGATTGGAATTGCAGCCCATTGCCCGATGTTGTCTGATCTTGATCTTTCCAAGTGTGCAATCACCGATGCTGGCATTGCAGCTCTTGCACGGGGAAATCAGATAGGCCTGGCTGTACTTTCTGTTGCAGGTTGTATATTGCTTTCAGACCAGAGCATACCCGCACTGAAAAAAATGGGTCAATTCCTTGCAGGACTGAATATCAAGCACTGCAGTGGAATCAGCAGCCGTGTGGTCAGCGAGCTTCACGAACATCTCTTGACCTGTGACATCCTCTACTGAACAGGAAATGCCTCAGCTTTTATTTTACTTTTAATGTTACTCGTTACTGTTTTTGGGTTCATTCATGATGGATCTTGCATCCACTACTCGGTTCTCCTTTTCCAGAGGATACAGTCATATTTAAACTTCATTTTTCCAGGTTTCTTTTAGTGGAAATCTGTTGAAAGTTTTTTGGCGTTCATTTAATCGATGACATGCCACTTTTAAAATGACTGTTTATTCTCTGTGAGCATAGTTTCCGGGTTCTGGAGTTTTAGGCATCTTTCTTTCTAGTGTTGGCACCCGATGTTTTAGCTAGCTTTTGTGTCGGTTTTGCCGCCATGTGTTTCCTTTTCTTCGTTTCTTTCCAGTATTATGTGCGTGTTGTTGGGGTATAAGTTTTATCTTAGTCAAGGGGCGTCTTGAAGTTCCAGCTTTGTGCTGGTTTTGTCTTGGTTACTTTTGCGGTTCAGAGTTTTATGAAGCCTTTCTCTTCAGGGGCTTTGGCCATGCCAGCCGATTCTATAGGTCTGTCTGTCATCACGATCCTTTCTCTTTCGCGAGATGGATTGTTTTTTCCTAAGCCCTTCTTTTTTAAGGCTTCATTTTTTGGAACTTGTCATTGTAATCTCTATATCATGTAATACTGAGATATGCCTCTTGTACTCTGTTATTTTATGAAAAAAAAAAAAAAATTCGTGGTCCTCCCTTGTTTAGATAAATTTTGTTTTACAAATTCTTGTAGAAGAAGAAAGTTCTACAAATTTACATTATTAAAACTATGCCTAAGTTAGTTTATAAAAATTAGCTCACATATTAATTTATTGAAAAAATAATATTCACATGACTGCATACATAATTTATCTTAAAAATTGGATGCTCTTATTTAGTAATACCTAAAAGTATTATCAAGAAAGGTGAAGTATAAAGATTGAATTGTGTTTAATGAAAAAAAGTGGTGAATTCAATTTACCCTGAATACACTGCATAACCAAGTGAAAGATGAGTTAGAAAATAAAACGTGCTGGTGAGGATGAATGGTGTGAGTGTTTCTGAGTACTCAACAGTATTCTCAGAAGGCATTATTGGCGATGATGTATGATATGAAAAGACTTGACATGTGGTCGCAACACTATGGAACAATGGCCTTGCCCTCTAAGTCTACACGTGATAATTTTCCATCCAAACCTTCCTTATTTCGCTTAGCGTGGGACGGTAGGTACATGAACACTAGACTCACCCTCCATCACAAGCCCAACTTGGACCCACTATTCAGATTTTTTTCTGTTCTATAAAAACACTAGATATTACTTCAAAAAAGAAAAACACAACAAATGTGAAATCTTATCTAAAACTCAACAACGTGAAACATTTAACCACCCCAAATAAAAGACCAGATGAAATCATATCAAAGTGCTTTTCAATCATAACATTAGTAATACAATTATCAACAATTAAAATTGATACCGTTTTATTTAGATTCTAATCCGTTTGATAGTACCAAAAACATACACATATATAAACATCAATTTGAAATATAATTTTAATAATCTAATTAACCGTACAATAGTATTATCTCAGAGTACATAAATATTATAATTAATATAGAATAATATTATTATCTCAACCGTCCATAAATTATCTATAATATTTTACGACATTAATTTTGTATTTTTTTTACTTTATTGTAATTCTTCGTAATATCATTCTAAATAATATGTTAAGAAATCACGTTGAATAAAATAGTATAAAATTCTTTAGTATTTATATGATCAATATTGGATAATCACGTAGAATTATCTCATATTATGAAATGCATATTTATCCAGTTGATAATTAAACACGTAATTTTAAACAACTACTATTCTTTTCCTATTTTTTAAGTTTTTACAAATAGTTTTTTTGTTGTCTTGTATATTCAATGTTTGTAATTCTTGAAATGGCTATTACATATAATTTTTCATTTTTTTTCTTTTAAAGTGATTCTAAACAATTGAAATTTCCTCTCTTAAGTTGACAGTTATAATTGAGATTTCAGTTTAAACATGAGTTAAATAATTAATTTTATCCATAGGAATATAATTTGTTTTATTCTTTCACTTACATTTTGCTTTACAAAGTATGTTTGATGTTCATCACTCATTAGAATAAAGGGTTCTTTAGTAAACATTATACATATTGATTTTTTTTGCTATTAAAACATTTTATCATAACAAAAAAAACACCAGAAAAACATTCTATACATATTAGATGCAGTCCTTACAATAAAGGATGATGCCTTATTTAGATATTCATAAATAAACACGTTAAAAAAAAAATTCGTATGCCTTTTCTATATTGTAGTATCAGCTTTGAAACTGGCAAATATTTCAGAAGTAAATTTATTCCCATGTAATGTTACATGCATAGGACTATCAAGGCTCTTCATTTTTTTTTTTTAAATGAAAAGAAAAGATGTTAAAAAATGAGTAAGCCTAGACCAAAGTGGGAATAAAAGATAGAATGAGTGGTAATGTTATAATTGAAACTAGCTTTAGAAGAAATACATAACTAACAACTAAATGATTCATCTGAGGAATATTATAACTACCTGATAAACTAGTTGTAAATTATAATCACCAAGCATCACGTGATGACAAAAAATTCTAGATGTTGAACTGATCATGAACATACAAGACCAAAGCTAAACCATTCAGGGGGCAATTAATTTATGTTTGACCACTTGACCGACGCATGAGTTACAAAAAACACTTGTATCACTTGATTGATAGAAACAAGTAACATCATTAACAACTGAGAGAAAGTGCTTCAGGGGAAGGGATGAAACTATAGGAAAAAGCCAGCACCCAAAAAACCAGAATTTTTAATAGGATGAAAAAAGTCTATGATTGTTTTGTTTCAAAGATGAGGTTTTGATTAAGTGGGCTTGGGAAAATGAACAACCCAGCGTTACAACAAGACTTTCAGAGTAAAATCATAATGAACTCTAACTGCATGTAACAGAAGTGAAGTATTTATTTCCTTGAGTTGCCTAAGCCTCTGCCTAAGCATAAGCGGTTACAAAGGTAGAATCCAGAGGTGACAGTCGATGCATACATAACACGAAACAAAGCTGTGCAGACAATCATATGGCTCATGAAGAGTGAAAGAATTAATGGTTGAGTTCAAGAGGGGGGGGTGAATTGAACTTTAAAACTTTTTCGCAAAACTTACTTTCTTTTGGAAGAATGAGTTATCTTTATTTAATCTTTATGAAGGTAGTTTGGTTTAAACACAACAAGTTTATTGACAGAAAATAAAAGAGATGAAAGAAGAATATTAACACACAAATTTATACTGGTTCACTCTAATCCAGAGCTACATCCAGTTCTTGACAAACCAGTCAAGTCTCACTAATACCAAGTGAAAATTTACAACCGAGTAGATACTCACCAATCTACCTCAAGAACTATCTTGCAAACCCACAAGACGGAATCTTGAAAAACACCCAAGTAACCAAACCCGAGTCATCGTACCAAGTGCGATTACAATCCAACCTGCACAAACAACTTTTACAAAAGAATATGGAAAGAAAAAACCTGGACTTGAAGTTTCTAATTGTCCGAACCAATTCTATCAAGCACTTTCTCTCTCTGAATGACCACAATTCTGATCACAAGCACCTTATGATATGAAAAAGATTCTTGAATGCGAGAGAAAGTCACGTATGAAAGTTTCACAGATTGATTTCACAAGTTTTCTCAAGTAGTGTGTTGTATTGTTTTTTCAAAAGATAGATCAAATCAGTATATATAGAGTAAATCAGAAAAAGCAAGCGTTTCATCTGTTAAAAACTGCTTTAGAGAGTCATAAGATAAGTTGGTTAGTAGTAAAACAGGTTTAGAAAAGACTCGATCGATTAAAACGAAGTATGATAGATTAGATCGAGTTATGATCGATCAGAATGAAACTATGATCGATTAGACTGAGTTATGATCGATCAGAATAAAACTATGACCGATCGAATGAGTTATGATCGATTAGAACAAAACTATGATCGATCGAGTATTATTTCAATCGATTAAAAGATCGGTTCAATCGATTGATTTCATTTAAAGTTCCATTTAATCGATTAAGACATCGATTCAATCGATTGATTTCATTTAAAGTTCTATTTAATCGATTGATTCGAGTTTTAATGGATTAAAACAACTTAATGAAAAATGACAACTCTCTGTTTCAATCGATTGAAAAACATTTTAACAGATTAAATTCCTGCAAACACTCAAGTATATAAAAAATAGTCTCTCTGTTTTAACAGATTGAAAAATATTTCAACAGATTGATTTTCTAAAAACTCTTAGATCGAAAAAGATCTTTCTGTTTCAACAGATTGAAAAATATTTCAACAGATTGATTTTCTAAAAACTCTTAGATCGAAAAAGATCTTTCTGTTTCAACAGATTTAAAATCATTTCAACAAATTGAAAATGCGAAACTTGATATTGAAAATTCATTGAGTTATTTTAACTTGTTGATTCCGCGAATCAATCAATTGAATTTTCGATTATGTAAGACCATTTATTATGTTAAGTGATTTTAACAGATTGAAAATCCTTTTCAACAGATTGAAAAAAAAAAACTTAGTTAATTCTTTTAATACTTAAACGTAAGTTTTTCATGCAGAAAAATGATTTTCAATGAGATGCATCATTTTAAGGTGCTTATCACAAAATATAATGGCCTATCAAGAGATTAAGTGCTAAAACTTAAAAACCTAATCATCTACACACCCACAACCTAAGTTATATTTATGTCTTCATCAAATCCACCAAGTGCTTCAATCTCCCCCTATTTGATGGAGACAAATAACCACTGCACCTGCAAAACAAGAATAACAGACCAGAGACATATATTTTGTGGTGTGTGTGTAGTGACAGTTTTAAGCAAAATACTTCTCCCCCTATTTGACTGCATCAAATAGATTGTTGTAGTTACAGTCCAATGGGGCCACGTGGGAACCCCAAATATAAACCAGAACATTAAAAAAAAAATGAAAAGAAAACAGAATAACAGACACATAGAAAATCTTCATTCGTCCCCTGGGCCTTGGTTGAATTGCAGTTCCACAATCCTGTTGTAGATGTCTTCTAGTTGATTATCAATATGCTTGGAACCTTGCAATGAAATTTTCATCCAAATAATGTCTGCCGAGCCCTCGGAGCAACAAGTCATCTCCATATGCCTCCTTTGGTCGGCTTGCAGTTCGCTCATTTGATGCAACATTGTTCTTTCGAACCGAGACGAGGCGTGCCACGGTCAGGAGGTGGATTGTATGGAATCATCTCCATTGGGTTTACTTCTTCTTCCATTGGATCGAAGGACGTGCTTGTAGAAGTTCCAGGAATATTATCAATGTTGATTCCTTCCTCTTGCTCTTCTTCCTCACTTTCTTCACTTCTTCCAGCTTCTTCTTTGGAAATCCATTCACCATCAACTTTAATAAATCCCATTTTGTGAAGAACGAAATTGTTTATTTCATTTGTTGGTCGGACGGTTTCAACAAGTTCTCCTTCAACATCAACACCAAAATGTGTTAAAAATTTAGAAATCAGAATAGCATAGGGATACCTGAAGTCACTAAGTCTCTTGGCTTTGATCATGTGATCCTTGATGACAAAGACCCAGTTCACACGTATTCGTGATGAATGCAGTACATCGAACTAAGTCTCCTTCATTTAGCACTGCATGATTGCTCCCCCGGGTGTGAGCTGCCAGGAAACGATGAAAGCGAGAATCCTTTCTTCCAGTTTCAACTTCCCAGTGTTGAATGAACTTACGGAATCATGCCTATTCTTCAAGCAAGAGCGGAAATATTGAACTTTATTAAATTCTTCAACATCCGAAGTACATCCTTTGGTGACTTTCACACCTACATCTTTTATTCCAAGCAACTTCCTTCCGGACATTAGGTGTTATCTCAATGTCTACTCCTTTAACTTGGGTTGTCAAAGTGGAACCTTCAAAAGATAAATTTGTGAAGAAAACTTTAATTAAGTCGGGGTAAATTCTACCATTCAACTCCGAAACATCTGAAGTTTTTGATGTTGCAGTAATTTCCGAATGCCTCTGAATCCTTCGGCATCAAACCAAGAGAACTTTAACATTTTTGGAATGTTGACTTGCTTCCTGCTTAATTCATGGATAAACAAATCCATTTTCTCTTGGTCCCCATTGAACCAAGTTTCAATCCTTCCTCCAACATTCTCGTTCTTGCCTTGCCGTAGAGGACTCGCCTCTGCTGGACTTCTTCCTACCGGACTTTGTGCGCTTGAACATATTTGATTTTTGGAATGAACAGAACGAGAGAAGAACCGAGAAAAGAGAAGCTCAAAGAAGAAAATAATACTATAGGAATGAGAATACACAATCTTTATCGGCTTAAAAAAAATTTTGTCTTTACTCGATTTATTGTTTACGTGCGAGTGATGATAAAGAGGAGAGAGAATTGCTACTGTACACTTTAATTACCTTCTCGGTAGATATCCAATCAGTATCAATTAGCTTTTATTGGATATCTCTCGATATTTAAGAGAGTAGTTGAAGATTATCTTGTTGTAAATGCTTTCGGCTTACTCTACGAAATCGGTTAGAGACAAAGTACATACAACTAGCCCTAGAAGAAAAATAATCAATTGATATTTCATGAAACCAACTGATTTTGTAATCGTAGATACTTATAAGTGAAATACACTGATTGAATCAAAAATTAAATCGATTATTTTGTAAAAGAAAATTATTCAGAGTACCATTAGTGAATTCAATCGATTGAATCGAAGATTTAATCGATTGATTTATAGAAGAAAATGTGCAGAGCAACAAGATTAATGAAATAAATCGATTAAAAACTTATTTAATCGATTGAACTACTAACACATCAATATCAGTGAGTAAGAATCAGAAAATCAACAGATTATTTCACAATTTCAATCGATTGAAACAAATAATATCAAGTTATTCATGCAATTATTAATCGATTGAACTTGTTATCGACTGTTAAAAGGCATACAATTACTATAAAGAATCAGCTTATACAATACTAGATATATCTAGAATTCCTAATTCAGATCCTAAGCATATTAAGTCTATCTCTAGGAAGTGGTTTAGTGAATAAATCAGCTAACCGTTTTTCAGATTCAACAAATAATATCTCACACAGTCACTCATTGATGTCTAATTTCAATATGCTTAGTTCTAGAGTGTTGAATAGGATTCTTAGTTAAGTTTATTGCACTAGTATTGTCACAAACCAGAGGTACCTTGTTTAGAGTTACTCCATAATCTGTTAGTTGTTGCTTGAGATAAATGCTTTGAGCACAACAGCTCCCAGCTGCAATGTATTCAGCTTCTGCAGTTGACAGAGCAACACACGCTTGCTTTTTGCTGTGCCACGATATAAGACTGCTCCCTAGTAGATGACAAGTACCAGAGGTACTTTTTCTGTCCAATCTACATCCTGCAAAGTCAGAATCGGAAAATCCAACAAGTTTAAGGGATGCACCCTCAGGATACCATAGTCCAACATTAACTGTTCCCTTGAGGTATTTCAGAATCCTTTTGGCGGCAGTAAGATGAGATTCCTTTGGATTTGCCTCGAAATCTTGCACAAAGACACACACTAAACATAATGTCAGGTCTACTAGCGAGTTAGATACGAGTAGTGAACCAATCAAACCTCTATATTTAGTTTGATCAACAGGTTTTCCTTTTTCATCTAAGTCTAGACAACAGTTAGTAGACATGGGTGTAGAGGATACTTTGCAGTTTTGCATATCAAATTTCTTTAACAAATCATTGCAGTATTTAGATTGACTAAGAAAAATGCCATTTCTTAATTGTTTAACCTGGAGACCAAGGAAGAAATTCAATTCTCCCATCATGGACATTTCAAATTCACTTTGCATTTCTTTTACAAACTTATTACACATGACAT